TCCAATTAATATTGGTTAGATATAATCTGATTCAATGGATATCTAATAAGAATATCCAATGGATGAAACCCAGCCAATCCAATCATCCACTATATTGGATTGGATTGGTTGTCTGACCAGATTAAATCGATTGGCAAAATCCAACATTCAATGGATGATTGGATCGATTTGGTTTCCCTCATATACAGATAGATGTCAACCATTGAACATGTCTATATATTTCCCACTAATAAGAAACTTTGATATTTAATATTTATGAGAGATAATATCCTACTAATGTAAAAACTACTTTAATTAATATAAATAATATTGCGGTCTCGAAAATAGAGAATCTATTGGAGATGAATGTAAATTTTTCTGAAGATTTAACCACAAGGGTGGTGCCTGATTGGTTTGAGCTTGGCTCCAAAGATCAAAAGTACCAGGATGTCACAGATTCAAATCCAAAGAGATCTAAAAATCCCCTTGTGGCCACAGAGATTCAAATACGGTGACTCCGGGCTATCTGCAAAGCAGGTGGTCGCCCTGAGATTAGTCAGCTCTCATAGCGGGTTGTATATCCAGATTAATCAAAAAAATATATGAAGATTTTAAGTTCTAATTCTCCGTTTTGGAGAAATTTTAGAGAATCTGTTGGAGATGCTCTAAGGATTCTATATCTGAAAACATAAGTTGAAGAGAACATACGAGATTGCACCTTAATTGATACAGGATTGATTTAATTCAAAGGATGACAATATTGTTTTCATATGGTTTCTAAAACATGCTCAACTTTCTTATTCATAACTTCTAACTTTATGTTTGTTTTTGTCATGGCTGACTTTAAAACAACCCTTGTTTAGACAGTTTCATTAGCAATTTTAATATATTGCTTAGAAAGTGACACATGCATGAAAAACCAATCTTGATACATCATATGTGACATCCTTGTGGTGGATTGCTTGTTTAGAAATAGAAACTCTTCAACTGTGTTATATTCTCGAAACATCATATTCGAGATTTGAACGCAACTTCGGAAGTCATTGAAAACTTGGAAATTGCCTACGACGCCAATCCATGGCTTAGATTAACATGAAATGTTCCATTTTTGAACCACGGATGCAAAATCCCAAGTCATGTCTTAATATCATCACTATCAGAATGCAAAATTGTCATTTCATTTTAAAGTCCATAGTTTTGGACTTATGGAATATCGTTTTGTTTTAAGAGTAGATATTTATCATTATTAACCAATCTCGTGTACATATACATACATGATATGTATATATAAATACACACACACATATAGATGAGAGAGAGAGGGAGGGAGGAAGGTCAAAAGAGAACGCTAACTATTTAAAAAAACAAGAGAAAAATCGTTAATGTACATTTTTCTTGTTTTCTTAAATAGTCAGCGTTTTCATTTGAACCCGCCTCTCTCTCTCTCTCTCTCTCTCTATATATATATATATATGGAGGATCAACCAATAACATAGTCGAAATAAGAGAACAAGAAAATATACAAATCATATGTGGATTTTAATGCAATTAGACGATATCTTCAACACAATGCTGAGCGGGTGACCTGGTCCGCGATCTCAAGTTGCATAATTACACATGATTTTAAAATAAAATCACATGTAATTTGGTCGTTTAGTGTTCTCTTATTTGGTTATTGTCCCCGCATGAATTTGACTATATACACACACACACACACATCTATATATAGGCGGGTTCAAACGAGAAGCTAAACATTTGCGAGAAAGTGAAAAGTTTTAATATCATATATTATTACATGCATGATACATACGCTTAATTATACATGACTAAATGCATGTTGCATTGACGACATATAAATTTTTAAGAATTAAACACACCCAAAGGAGTGTAATCATATATGGTACCTAAACTTCTTATTTTCTTGCAAAATGTTTAACTTCTCGCATGATTCTTCTTCTTCTTCTTCTTCTTCTTCTTCTCTCTCTCTCTCTCTCTCTCTATATATATATATATATATATATATATGTATATATATAATTCTCTTAAATGTTGGAATCATTGCAACTTCATCTACACCACACAATTAAACAATCAATGGTTGGGGATAAGGCGATTGCGGTTAAGGATAAGACAATTACATCTTTAAAAATTTAAAAAACAAAAATACTCCTTAAAATGGTAAGGACAATAGGACTAAATTTTATTGGGTTGCATTAGGTGCAACATTTGAAAATTTTGTATTTGATTTGCAATCTATATATATGTATAGGCGAAGAATCGTGTGGGAAAAAAAGTTATGTGAGAAGCGTAAGAAGTGATCTGAACTCTTGATCACTTTTTATCTCATGCCCACCCGTGAATTGCGTTTTAAAGGAAATTGATCTGGTGCATCTCGGTACATCTCATTAGTGTTGATATTCAATTAGAATTAATTAAAGAGTGGTGATCTTTTCTTATGTTCCTCTCTATAATTTTCTTTCTAACTAGAAAGTAACCCTATACGTATATAAGGTTGGATTTCAGTGAAAAGGAGAATTAAAGTGAGAAGCGTAAAAAAGAATCTCCATCCCTGGATGCACATTAGGATGAGATGCACCGAGATGCATCTGATCAATCCTCGTATCAAGAGCAATTTATGAGTGAGTTTGAGATTAAAAGTGATCAAGGGTTCCGATCCATTCTTACACTTTTCATTTGAACCCTCATTCTCACACAATTTTCGCCTATATATAAAAAAATATAAAATGTAGAACTACACCAATTAAGATCGGACCAACCCTTCTCAGGATTGAACAATCCTACTTCAATTAAGATCTTCATGTAAATGACTAGTTATATGTCTGAGAGCAATGGGATAACCAATTTTATCCATCTAAAGTTGATTATGATAACTCTTACCTGTCCCAAACAAAACCCGCCTTCAAGGATACTAGTGTGAGGGGACATTTTTTTGACGCTCGCTCAATGACCGAGGCTAACAGAGCAGCCCAAGATCAAACTCGAGACAAATCTTGGATTTAAGTAAAATCACACTGTCCCTTTGTCAAATGAGTTACATATCCAAGACTTTGAACGTATATAAAACAACTCTATCTTTGTTTAATTGTTTTAGACTATATTATTACGTGTCTATAAATAATATATTTAAAATAGTGTTATATACATATATATATATATACATATATATATATATATATATATAGGGGAGCGATCAAATGCAAACCACTCAATTTGTACAAACCGTGCAAACCGCATTCAACCAATCATAATTTTTCATTTTGTTCATTTTTTTGTAATTATGAGAGGTTGATTAATCATTTTTATTGTGGAGGGTGTTAATCAT